GGGATACGGAGATACAGAAAGTTAAGTAATTTGCTCAAGGTCGTGTAATTAAAAAATGAGTAGTAAGGCAGGAATTTGGAGCCAGGCAGTTTAATTCCAGAGTCTGCACTCTTAAGCCCAATTGAAGACTCTGCATAGAAACAGAAGTGCTCATCTCAATCCATGCTGAAGGCCAGCCTGGTGTTATTGATCCACAGTGACCTAGGCGGGGAAGTCTCTGAAACTACGTGAGAACAAGGTCCTCTGAGATCCCGAGGAACCAGTATCTGGCTCCCACCAAGATTCCTCCAGCAGGTTAGGAATAGCCCTAAACTCTGCCCACTGGGGGAAGATCAACTTTCATGGAAAACTGGGACCTAGTCAATCTTCTTGAAATATCAGGAAACAGAAATGACTGTTTCTCTGGGATCCCCACAAGCAGTCGTGACAGAAACCTACTCTTCCCCCAAGTTCAAGATATTTTAATATTTTATAACTAACCTCTTATTATTTTACATCACAAATATAAAAGGGAGGAGATTGAGAATCAGTACCAAAGCAGCAATCTGAACTGTACTATACAACAGCTAAGTGCTTCACGATCCCGATTGGATTCTAGACCAGAAAAGGGACATTAGTGTTTCTTTTGAAGGGAGGCTCTGTTACTTTGGTCTCTTAAACAAAAATGCAGAATACCCTTAGTTATAGTGAAAACAATCTCTACTAATCAAAGTATGATACTTCTTAAACATTTTTTTTGGCCAGGATATTAGTACACATGATCTTAAAAGTCAGTATATATGTTTACAGCCCAAAATTTTTATACATTTAAAAGTTTATGTTTAAAAGTAACTTTACAATCTTATTTTGTTCTTAAACAACATATATTCTAAAGTGAGGTTGATCTAGTTTATCAACTTTGCTGCATCCTGGCTGTTTCAAGAGTATTTTAAAAGGGAGAATCAGTGTCTTAACTCAGCCATAGATATGTAAGTACATTCTTTTAACTGATGTTTGAATCTGAAATATCAGCCCTCATTATAATATATGACAAACAGAAGAATAATAACCCCATCTTATTTGTATCAGGTCTCTTAACAATCAGTGAGATCAGGTGCAAATTTTGCTTGATCACTGTGAAAGCTGTGGGTCACACTTGTTTATAGTATTAAACGTTTTGCTACCACGAATGAAAGCACCCGAAGTATATGAACCAAACATTTAAAACAAAATCGGCATGGGGGGTGAACCATTACAAATGAACTGCATAAGGATTAAAACTATATAACTTCAGCATATCCACAATGGTTAATGCAATCACATTGCAACTATGTCCACTCTTGGCAGAGCTTATAAACAGGGATGCCAGAAAACATTATTCTTTTTCCAAACATTAACTCCACATTCAAAAGTCTGACAGTGTTGAGTCTTAAAATCTCTTGGCAACGGGTTTTAGCCATTAATTGAAAAAAACTGAGCTGGATAAACCAAAACTATTCAGCTCTTTCAGCCATACATGTAACCTTTAGAGCCCTGTATACTGGAATTGCAGGAGGTATTCTAGAACATATGTTCCCCGCGGGGGGAACTGCAGTGGGCACTTCCCTCGACTGCCGGCCCAGGCAACAGCGCTTTGGATCCCTGAGACCCTCCCTCCACAGTCCTGTGGCCACACTGGCTGCAGAGGGGCCTTCCCCACTCCAGGGAGCTGGGCAACAGTCCCAAAGGAAGGGACACTCCTGAGCTTGCACAGGCCAACAAAGCACTCCTCCCCCTCTTCCTTCTCTCTCTCCTCTGCAGATGATACACTCCTCCAGGAGGTTCAAACTGACCAGGGGACTGTTTTAACTAAATTAAAATACAGGTCTAAAGTTAGTGTTCTTGGGCAAAGAAAATCTACTTTTTTAAGAAATGTATGTTTATTAGAGAAAAAAATAGAGAGTAGAGAGAAAATATAACAATACCCAGAGTTGAACCTTTTAAAGTCCTCCTTCTAACATTTTGCTACAATTATGTTCTGTCTTACTTTATTCAGAGGCCTTTTTCTAGTATTAGGACATTACTGTGTGTTCATATTTTACCTAACACTATATCCTAATCAGCTTTCTATGTTAACAGTCTTTTCACCAAGGAGCTGCTTAAGATTGCAGGTATTACATGTTTTACTGAACTGGTTCCTCGCCACTGAATTTGCCAATTCACTTTTAAAACCATTTATCCATGGAGTATCTACTACATTCAAGTCACTGGATTAAATATTGTAAGTATACATATATGAATAAGTGGCTCCTCCCAGAATGCTCTTCAAAACTACAAAAGACACAAATATATATATGCAGCATACACACATATGCATGTGTACACCTGCTATACCTGGCCCTAAGCCACACATATGCATGTGTACACCTGCTATACCTGGCCCTAAGCCACTTAATTTTTTTTTTAAGGGCACATTAATTTTACTCAGGTTGAGATAGAACTTTTTCAGCCTATATGTAATAAAGATTTTCCTAACAAAGAAAATCTGTAGTTCTGACTACAAGAAAATTTAGAATGTACTTCTTTTTAAATATGCTTATAGGATTGAAGTATTCTAATTTCCTTTCCACGCATTCCTTTTATTGCTAATTTCTGTTATTCTTGTCTGCTGGATTTGCCTTAACATGACTGATCAGGGAATCTTTTACGTAGCCTCAAAAGAAAGAACTTCTGAGCATCGTTAAATATTTTATCTTAAGAACATCCCCAACCCAAAGTATTAACTACACCTGTGTTTTAGGCAAAATTGCTGTATGATGTAATACTGGGCTGGTCCTCCTGGGAAGGGTGATAATGCACTGAGTTTTTCTTTGGGTGTTGGTACTGGGAGAGGAACAGACATCTGGAAACAGATGTTTTAGAGCCACAAAGACATAGATATAAATTTTCCTTTCAGCCCTTAACTAGCTTTGTGATCTTCAGCATGTTCCTAAAATAGAATAAAATAAAATAGTCGCCGTACCTTAGTTTCCCTGTTTGTAAAAAGGAGTTAATAATATTTACCTTGCAGGGTGGATGTAAGGATTCCAGAAAATCTACGTGAGGCCAAGCATGTGTCTGACATACAATGAGTATGCTTATTTCTATAATGAGTATATATTCTGTTTTTAAAAGACAAACATAACTATGTAGGAAAAAATTTAAAGAGAAAAACGAATTTACTGGGCTTTATTGAAATGAATTGCAATTCATTACTCACTTCCTAGTGAAGAGTCTAAATCTTGAAAATTCAAGAAGCTGGAAATGTGGACTAGAGTGCCCTGAGGCCAACCAAGATCACCTTGTAACCCAGCTCCTAAAATGTAGTTAATCCCAGGCTTTTCCTCCTTTTTGTGTATTTGCGAATATACAACAAAGACAATGGAGTAGACGCCTTGGTGTGGGAAAGCCAATTCTCCTATCCTGTTTCAGGACGATTTGCTCCCCTTTCTAGTTCTCACCTCAGCCCCCAAGCTGAGAGAGACCCAGAGCAACAGAGGTGATTAGCTGCTGCTCTGTCAGCAGATGGAATTAACTGCTCATCTTCTGGAAAAGGAGATGCTTCCCCACAGAGACTAGTGTGGAAAAGCCGTTTATGGCCCTGCAGCACTTTCCCTCGCATTTTACACAGGAGCTCTGACACTCAATGCCCTCTGAATCTGAAGGAAATTTCCTGGTCAATGAAGGATTCCCTGAAGAGCGGCTCCATGAATTACCACACATTCGATTACCAGAGCTAACAGAACAGTAAGTGTTCCCAAGGGCCATAAGCATCCCCGGAATTCTCATTTTTCCCATTTGAGTCAAACTGGAGTTAAAAAGTTGCAACTAATTATATGAAATCAACCATCTTTACTCTGTCAGAGTAATTCAACCAACATTAAAATACAGATAATATTCCCAGGGATAAAAAAAATAAATCTTAAGCTTTCTCCTCCATGGGGGCTAGATAGGTTTAGACCTCTGAACAGTCTTGGGACTGGTCTGGGCTTCCACCCTGGGAGGAGTGAGGAAGCTCTGGATGCAAAGGTAAAGACAGCCTTGAAAGCTGTGTGTTTGAGAGAAATTACCTATAGAGCTAGCAGGAGGACAGGGTTTTGCTTAAAACCTGTATCATTTTTGGAGTTATAACACACAGAGAATTTCAAAAAATCTCTAATCTCAGAAGAATCTGTACGTAAGTTCTGTCTTTGTTTTCTAATCCACGAAACCCAAGTTGTCTCCTTGGGCTAAGGACTGTAGGGTCAGTGCTAATGGTGATTTCAGACACCAGTGTGCTAACAGCACACCCCAAACCACAAAAAGCTTAATTTCAGAAGGTTACTCTGAAAACTGTCCTTTGCACTTGCCCTTCCCCTACCCAGAAAACTGACCCCAGACATATGTGTACAGTCCCTTCACTCACTCCATTTGGGTCTCTGCTCAAATGTCTTCTTATTGGAGAAGCCTTCCTGACCATCCCACTTGAACACAAACACACTCAGAATCAGACTTGGTATCACCTTAGGATGACTCCTTTTTCTTATTCCTTATCTTTCTTTCTCACTGCCTCTCATATTATAGATGTATTTGTTTGTTTGTTTTCCACCCGCCCCTCTACCAGGGTAAGCACAATGAAAGGAGGAACCTTTGTTTTTTCACTGCTGTATCCCACCCAGTACTCCACAGAGCACTTGAACACATGACCACTGTTCAATAAACATCTGTCACACGAATGAATGAACTGTAGGTGTTTTAGCCAAATGCTATATATCTCCAATTGTCTTCCCGACAAGATATAAACTAACTAAGCTCCTGAGACCCACGCAAGGCTACTATCTCCTCAGATGTCTTTTGTGCAGCTTATGAAACAAGTGTATCCATGTGAGCTACCCTGAGAGTCTACAAGGAGCAAGTTCCTCTTCTGATCTTCCCAGGCTGTAACACTGATGAGCGTGCCACGTGCCTCCTCCCTGCATCTCAAATTTTCCCATGCTCAGTGAAACCTAGATATCTTTTCTTACCATATTGATCTGAAGAGCTAGTGAACAGAAGGTAGTCAGAAGCACAGGTCTGGGATTCAATATCCAAATCTCCCAACCTCAGAATCAATCTCTTCCCCTTCGGAACTGTGATCGTCTTTTCACAAATAGTGTGATTGGGGTAAGTCCCTGGATAATTCTTAGATGTCATGGTGCCACTGTCCTTGTAGGTCACTATGTGCCCACAGCCATCACCTGTTAAAGAAAAAAAGAATACAAAAAGTAAGTGAGGGCTTCCCTGGTGACGCAGTGGTTGGGAGTCTGCCTGCTAATGCAGGGGACGTGGGTTCGAGCCCTGGTCTGGGAGGATCCCACATGCCGCGTAGCGACTGGGCCCGTGGGCCACAACTACTGAGCCTGAGCCTCTGGAGCCTGTGCTCCGCAACAAGAGAGGCCGCGATAGTGAGAGGCCCGCACACCGCGATGAAGAGTGGCCCCCGCTTGCCGCAACTAGAGAAAGCCCTTGCACAGAAATGAACACGCAACACAGCAAAAAAAAATTAATTAATTAATAAACTCCTACCCCCAACATCTTCTTAAAAAAAATTAAAACATTAAAAAAGTAAGCGAAATTTTTACTGAGGACTGAAAACGTCCAGTATAATCTTCATCTTAGGTATTCTACTCTTTCTATGGAGAGAGAGGGAAAAGCTAAAAAAAAAGAAAAAAAAGGATTGAATTATTAAACCGTATTTATTATTCCAGGTTATTTCATCTCCTGTTTCTCAGTTTAATATTCTGAACACTGTTGATCAAAATGTTTCATGTATTAGCATGGTAAGCCCTTTGCAAACACATCATTTAGTCTAATTACTTTTTCTAATCATCTATCCAGGTATCTACCCATCCACACTTGCACAGTGGGCCCTTGGCATTCGCAGATATGCCATTTGTGGTTTTGTCTACTAGCAAGCCAGTGCCATGAAATAATTTGCAACCGAGAAAATACTACTACTCATTTCAGGGGTTACTGTCCTGATTAAATGGGATCATGTATGCAAAATGCTCCTGGTAGATTCTGAGGCTTATGCTGAGAGGACTTTGTTTAAGAGCCTGTCATTCAACTGGGGACTAACAAGCATCTGACATGCACATCTCAGTTAGTAACAGTCACAGATTTGGAAGTTCCTGATAGACTCAAGATGTATCATGAGCGTCAAGGATCTACTGTATTGAGTGCTTGCCACCTGCCAGACATGGCATTGTTGGAGACACATAAAAGCAGCAATGGCTGCTCAGGACTCAGAGTGAAATGGGAGAGTTCCATGTTCAGATAACTATAACACTAGGTGCCCCTGGCATAGCAGGAGCTTAAACAAAGGGCCAAAGAGGGCAAGAGAGAATCTATTTCAGTGAACTCTCACTACTTCACTAAAACAAGGAATTCTCTTAAGACTTTCTGAACAGGGTAGTTAATCAATTGACCAACAAGTTATTCCAGTATATTAAAGTGACCAGGTTAATCACCCAAACATCTAACAGCATGCACAACTGGGTGGGCTGCAAACATTGCATGCAAAGTCCGAAGTGCAAAATGCCTGTGGTTACTACGGCTTCAAAGAAACAAAGCCAGAATTTTTGCCCTTCACCGGAGGGAGAGAAAGCAGAAGTCTGTTGGAGAAGGAACTCTCTGAGGTGGTAACAGAAGGCATCCCAAAGCCTCCTATGGACAAGCCCCAACTTGGGCATCCTGGGAATCTGAAGCCCAAGGCAGCCTTCTTCCTTCTCCAGGCTAGTCCCTGCTAGAGGATTCATCTGGGGTCTTCCTTTATTCTACCTCCTTCTTGCCCTGAGGCTTGCAGCCCAAATGACATGGGGGCCTAGTTAAAATAAGGGGTTGGGGAAAACTGCAGAATCTATCCCAAATCAGCCGTCAAGCTCCAGGCAAGGACCCACCCATTATGCAGAAACTCTCACAAGATTCCAAGCAGGGAGGTTGCACTGGGGGAGTTGACCTATAGGAGCAATGAGTTAGTACCAGAGGAAAATGGAGATAGACAGCTAAGATAAAACTACTCTGAAACCTGGAGGTCCAGGCAGAAGTTGTGGAATTTATACAGTAGGCAATAGGGGTCCACAGAGGTTTTTGAGAAGGGAGATAATGAAAGAGGTATTAGAAAAAGTTTTGATACAGGAACTAGGATGCAGGAGAATCTGCCTCAGAAGGGCAGTAGGAGGGCTAGGAACGGGGTGGCTGGAATGGAAAGGGAGAAACAGGGGGAGTTCACAAGAAAAAAATCAACAGGCTCGCGTTTCGCTTAATTATAGTGGGAAAGACGAGAGGAGAAAAAAAGTTAAAAAAAGTTGAGGCGTTGAGTCCAGAAATGATGGGAACACTGAGGCTAATATGACAGAAAGGGAAGCCCAGAGGGCAAGCAGGTTTGGGGACAAAGGTTGTAAGTTTGGTTCTTAAGTTTGAGGTGATAGCTATATTCCTTGGGCTCTCTGGCAGTAAGTACCAAATTGTTGAGAATTAAATGAAAATTATACTAGAGTAAAGCATACGGTGCAGAAGCACGTAGGGGTTTTGATTTAAATTTAGAATGATTTACCTGCTCTTAAAGGCTTTTGTTAAAAAAAAAAAAAATCCAATTGACAATTTCTCTGGGAAACTGGAAGACAGGGCAATCATACCGCAGGTGTTCTCACAGGGCTGAAGGCGGTGGCTGCCCCTTTAAAGGAGACAAACGCCCTAGCTCCCCACAAGGTCCTGTAACTCGTTTCTAAGACTTGCCCACCTTAGGAGGCAGTGACTTGGAGCACCCTGATGAAACAACACTAGGGTAACTAGTGTACAACTACGCATATGATTATACACATAACTAACCCCCTCTAAGCCACCAAGGTATCACCTGTGAAACCTTTAAATGTCTCGTTTCTTAGTACTACGAAATTCTGCTTTTATAAGAGAAAAGAAAGTGAAGTCTTTTCCTAGAAAACATCCCTAGACATAAAATGAGGCTCAGTTACAGGTGAATCGGCCCACACATGATTACTGTATTCGAAGTTTTAAGCGACATGTCATGACAAAGGAAAATTCCAGGGTGTCACTTTTATTCAAGCCTGTAATTATGCTTCTTTTCAATGCCTTCTACTCTAACGCCCAAGAGGAAACTCATCTCACCCAGCGACACTGGCAGAATGTTGAGCAGGTTTAAGTCTTCAACACTCCCATCCTTACTTTACATGGGGGAGTGTGGCTCAGATGTGGAGAAGCTTTCCTTCTCCGTTAACTATCAGAATGAAACTAGGTCTTTCTTCTGCCAAAAAACCTGAAAGGAACGGCTGAGTCCTAATTTATTACAAAGCAAGCTGTCATCAGAAGTTGCAGTTTCACTCCAGCCCATGGAAGACTACTTGCGGAGTCTGCTGTGGCAAGCACTAATATAATAAACTTATTCCCTGGGCACTAATGACATCAGGAATTTTCAACCTCCTGTCTTTCCACAGTTTTGATGACTTCAAAGGACTAGATATAGTTAACAATATTATAGTATATAATTGGAAGTTGTTAGGAGAGTAGATCTTAGATGTTCTCACCACAAAAAAGAAACAGTGATTACGTGAGGTGACTGCAGTGTTAGCAAATGCTACAGTGTTAAATAACTTTGAAATACATAAATGTATAAAACCAATGCACTGTAGACTTAAACTTACACAACGGCATATGTCAATTATATCTCAATAAAGCTGAGGGAAAAAAAGAACTAGAAATATGCCAAAGAGCAAATGGAAAATGCCTAGGGAGAGAAAATGCCTATGGTATCATATACTCAATAAGGCATATGCATGCAATTGAAAACAACAGAGAAGCACTATTTCCACGACCTCATCCTAACACTTTTGTAGCTTAACTCAGAGCCCAACTCTAATTAAGAAACACTGACAAGAAAGACGACAAGAGTTATTTAAAAATCTACCAGTCCACGTTCCGTATGTAATGTATCAACATCAATATCATGGTTGTAATATTATACTATAGCTTTGCAAGATGCTATCACAGGGGAAACCAGGTGAGGGTACACAACATCACTCTGTATTATTTCTTACAACTGCATGTGATCTATGATTATCTCAGAATAAAAAATTTAATTAAAAATTTTTGAAAAAATCTGTCAGCCTGGTTAAGTTTTCCTGGCAGGGGTGAAAATGAAGGGGCTTTTTCTAATTTATACTTTTTATACTATTTGGATTTTGTGATCTTCTACTTAAATTATTTTTAATTAAAGAATTTATACAAGCTTGCATTAAAAAGATCACCATGGAATGACAACAAATAAAGGAGGCCACTTTTATTCTAAAATCTCTGTGTACTAAATCCATTAACCAAGTTCTCACATTTGTCTAAAGAGCATAGGGTGTCGTGTCTGGGGAGGTTCATAATATATGCCCCAGTTTACAGATGAGAAGACAAGATGTATATGACTTTCCTTAAGGCTACTCAACCAGAGGTACATACCAGATGACAGTTCCAAGATGATCTAGTTCTAGGATTTTAAAAACACTTTTGTCACCTCTTTATTTGATTTTGTAACACAAGTGTATTTGTGTTTAATTTTGGAAAACCACCTGCACTGATGCCCTACCAGACCTCTTTTTAGATACTTTCACAACATCTGTCTATTAAAATGAACAGAAGATGTAGCTTATCTGGCAATGGTCACAAATAGATGGAAAACCTTTGGGTAGAAGGTGGAGGAAGAACTTTATTTTTTTAAATTAATTTTTATTGGAGTATAGTTGCTTTACAAGAGGAAAAACTTTAAAATGAAAGGATCAGGCAGGTCACCATCTAAACTTATTAATGGATCTCAGCATGACAACAAGTGAGAAAATCAGATATTACAAGTCTCCTGCTAGGATAAAATATGCTCTGCATACCAACACATATGAAGCACTCTTGCCAAAAAGCAAAACATTTGAATTGATAATTGACTCTGAATCTCATCAAGCCTTTACGTCTAACTTCAGTTTACAGGAAACACAAGGGGTAGAAACACAAGTGTACTGACACCACAAGGAAGTCATTAGCTGAATCCAAGTGATATTCTAGGTGCAACTGACCCAGTTTCTTCAACAACGAATTGTATAAAGAAATGTTTTAAAAAGTGTTTATTTTAACTAAAAATAGAATTACCATATGATCCAGCAATCCCACTACTGGGCATATACCCAGAGAAAACCATAATTCAAAA